GTGCTTATATAGAATGGTTAGTTAATGAACCAATGCGGCTATTAATAAAAATCCAATATAAGAACGCATGCTTAGTAATGCTTCATGCAAATACAATAAACCCACAAGCCAGATAGCCTTGCATATCCTTGGAGTCTTTTCTTTTATCCTGTCGGGTAAGTCTTGCTGAGTAGAATTGAGTACTCGGGGTTTTATTCCCCCTGTTGCAGGTGACAGGTGGATGCTTGAGCTGACTATTGTGTGTGGACTCTCTCTGGTGGGCTCAAATGAGGATTCCTTTATTCATGCGATCGTAGTTGTTATTTATAACTCTCACAAAATGCTTTTATAAATGAAAGTTTCACAATCTGTTGTCGTAGTGTATTTATCAATACTTCATCATGTTATGATTAGATATTCATTTCCGCTGTAACTCTGTTCACATGTTTATATTCCGTTGTTCAATTAAATTATTCATAACTCTGATAATATGATTATATTCCGCTATTATAATAATAAATGTTATACTCTGATGTACATGTAAAGTGACGTAAGAAATGGTTAAATGATGTAAGCTTTATTCTCTCATTGGTGATCCTGATGGCAAAAATGTGGATTTTCAGGTTCTCCCCTGAGGTGTGCCCGACGGAACCGAGTAATTTAGTGTTCTCCCTTGAGTGCTTAGTGTCTAATGGAAGAGAAGCACTCCTGTGAGACATTAGATTATGCGGTTTTGCCACAGCCATGGCGGCTCGGGCGAGCGAGAGGGAGGCGCGGAGTAGCTCGGTCTTCAGCTTAAGTAAGAAGCGTGAGTGGCGTATTCAAGAAGCCAAGGAGGCCGATAGGGCGAAAAGACATGGCACCACGCGACGACAACAGATGGCGTGTTGGTTGGCACGGACAACTCAAAAAGGTACGCCTACACGCGAGTTAATCAAGAATAATGACAGCATGGCAGCCAAGCGACGGCACGAGAGAATAAAAAGAGGTAGGCGGGTCTAGTAGCAAGGACGAGTTCCACAGCGGCCGAGGTGACAAGATGGCAAGGGCACCGTCCTATGCCGATACGTCAGAAGAGCAGCCATGCCACACGGCCACAAGACATGCACACCATAGGGAGTAGTGTGACCATGTTAGGCGGCACAAGGTGGTACCGATGGCCACAAGGTCGACCAATGGGCAAGGCACGGCAGGAGGGCGACCAAGCGTTCAGTGATGGCAGTGCAATGTCGGTGGCTAGGCTCGGCCAAGCGCGGCCAGACACGCCAGACGCGAGGAGACACATGGTGACCGTGGCCACAGACTGAGCAGCCAAAACCAGTGCTGTGCACGCTATTTAAAGCAGACCAACAACCACTTAAACACCCGACTAAAGCTAAACCAATTTCACAAACCTACAGTCCACACCACCGGCTATCCAGCGAGACAATCTGCACAACAAACGGGCCACCTGAGAGGAAGATACAAGCACGCCAACTTGGGTTCGTCACTCGAGCACCATTTCGTGAACTGAGATCAGAACATGGGTTCTAGTACGTTACGAAAGGACTTCGGGATATTTTTGGGATAACCCCGCCACGCCAAACCAACCTAGGAGCTACACCAAGCCAAGGTACTCGCCGGGAATCATCAAACTATACAAAAACATGGATAATTTGTTTTATTATTATATGTGAGTTTAAAACTTTAAAACACAAGAGCTTGGTTAATTAATTTCTTTTAGGCCTTAATCAAGGTGCTGAGCGAGATCGTAACACCAGTGGTGTTACACACAGCCAGGGTCTGTATATCCATCGAGCAGGATAGGCCACAAGCTTCTGCTCTAGGACCTCATGCGCGTCCTCCGATGCTGCCATGGCTCCCGCACTAGCTCTCTCTTCCTCACTAAACAACCTTACATTGAGATCTACTTTTGCAACACTTAGATGAAACAAATTGTAACATACGACTGAAAACATATGAAACATTTGGAACATACACTTGCAACATATGTCTGAAACATATGAAACATATGGAGCATGTTGTTGCAACATATGCAAACATTCAGATCAAAACGCTTGCAACATACGTCTGAAACAGATGAAACATTTTGAACAAATGCTTGCAACATGCCTCTGAAACACTTGCAACATAGATAACATGTGCAACATCCCCGATCTACTTTTGCAACATCCATAAGAAATAACTGCAACATACCTTTGAAATGACTGAAACACCTGAAACATATATTTACAACATAGGGGAGCGGAAGCCTGAGCCGATCGATTCTATCTGTCGGGGTCGGAGCCGACGGCAGCGCACGAGCACCACCAGCACCTAGCACTAGCGGCGCGCGCGAGCATCACCACCAGCCAGTGCAACCAGCACCGCCCTTGGCTCAGCCCGACGGGCGACGCGTGCTACGAGAGGGAGTGGGCGGCTCAACACACGGCCAAAGCGAGGAGCGAGGTGCGGGTGGGGCACGTGACGGGCTAGGGAGAAGAGTGAGGAGAGAGCAAGCAGAGTTAGGGCGCGGTGGGAGAAGGCCGAGCGGAGTGAGCGAGCGGTGTCCGAACGAGAATAAGAGACAAAGGGAGTTAAATTTGTGGTGCACGTCACGCCACGCATCCGTCTGAAGGGAGTCGCTGGCGTTGAACGTCCTATTTGTAGCATCATCGAAGGCCCAAAGCCAAATGAAACAAACTATTTGTAGCATCATCGAAGCGGGGCTAATAGCTTTTGCGATTAGCCCCCCTTAATTAATTCTTGTTCACCCTCCTCCACTGGTCCTGTTCAAGGAAAAACAAACTATTGTCTCCGAAGTCAAGGCGAGCACATGGACACTAGGGCCGTGTTTAGTTCGGCCGGTTCGGCGCCGATGAAATCACTGTAGCTACAATCGTTGACTAATTAGGCGTTTTGTTTAGGTGTACAGTGACGTTTTGTTTTATTTGGTAATAATTGTCCAATCGTTGACTAATTAGGCTCAAAACGTTCGTCTCGTAAAGTACAACCAAACTGTGCAATTAGTTTTTGATTTCATCAACATTTAGTACTCCATGCATGTACCGTAAGTTTGATGTGACGGAGAATCTTCTTTTTGCATAGTGTCAAAGTTGAGAATTTGGTGGAACTAAACATGGCCTAGTTAAGATGAGGATGGATGATAAATAGTGGGGGTCATTTTCCTTTCAAATTGGTGTGAAAACAAAGCAGTGGTGTAAACCATGTGCGTGGTATGGTCGCCTACGCTCCTCCAGCGACGGCGGCAAAGATATACGATGCTCCAAGTTTGAAAGGACACCAAGAATTCAGTGAAGTGCACGTAACGGAAAGGGAGCCAAGCCAAAAACCCAAAGACAAACGAAAATCCCCAACGGGCAACGGCTTTCCAATCCATACAGAAAAGATTCAAACAGGACCGGTGGTGGTAGCCAGTCGCCACCGCCCCGGGCCCACGCCACGTTGACGCCAGCCATCTTCGCACTTCCCAGGCGCTCCTCCCCCACCCCGCATTGGTGAATCCACTCCGTCCGCTCTGCGCCAGTGCCGCGGAGGGATCCCGAATCCCTCGGCTCCCGTGCTGTGTCCGCTCCGCTCCGGTCGTGCCGGGCCGACCGTCCCTCCCACCACGTCGGGCGCATCTGTCCCGTTCCGGTCCGGATCGCACCCGCGCCTGACTGGCTGGCTCGCCGGATCTTCTACTCCAGCCTCCTGCTGCTGCACCTTCTTCTCCTCGGTCCTCGTCATCCATCCATCCTCCCGCTCCGCTCCCACTCCCGCCTTCTCATTCCAAAGCTCGCCCCCGCGTCGCCGGCTGCTGCTCGCTCCTCCGCGGATCCGCGCGGGCTCCGGCGGCATTCTCCTCCCGCGGGTAAGGAAATGACTCGTTTTCTATAATGGATTCCGCATTTCCGTTTGCTCCGTTCCAGCTTCGTTCGTAGGGCTCCTATAGTTTGCGCTCTTCGCTGCGATTCGCTTGCCACCAGCTCACCATTGCCCTCCGCGCCCCGAGCAGCTGCTACCAGGTCGCGTCGCGCTCGCATTGCGTTCTCAGTCCTCACGGGGTTGCAGGTGCTAACTGCTAGTAGCTACTAGCTACCAACGCGGCTTACAGAGAAGGAAATGGCTGAGCCATACGGCTGTACTTCGTTCAGTGTTGGTTGCCTACTTGCATCTGCGGTAGTACCATGTCGAGATCCAATTTCGTATGAAGCTGTGGATTGATTAGGTGCTGCAAGTTGAGTATTTGTATTTGCTACTAGTGCAAAAATGGTCAATGCCTCCCCTAAAAACTGTATGTTTTATCATACTTCGAGAATACCAACACGTGTCTGTTCGTGATTTCTTCCTCGTCTTGGCCGATTCAAGAGCGTTACCGCGCTCGCTGCTGTATGCCAAAATTTCGCTTTCAACCATTCTAGTAGTTCCTTTTCTGCCCTGTTCGTTTCAACTTATTTGCTCGCTTATAATTCATGGCTTGAACAGTATTTCCCTCTCGCACTAAACCAGCTAGTAGGACTTTCAGCCATGCCTTATAAGCCAATTCAGCCGAAACGAACAGTGTTTGGTTACCAACAAACCCATGTTCCGGCACTGGCTACTCAACTGTACGGCCGTACAGAGAAGTCCTCCCAATTTCGTGGACAAGCTTGCACTCGCTGTCCTTTTGAGTGGAATTCAAGGCACTCGTGTTTAGTAGCACTGCTCGGTTCTCCTGAACTAAATTGCTTCTACTGTGGATTTGTATTCCTGTTTTGTGGGCGAGTGCTGGGCAACACTTCATTTTCATGTGAATCTTTACTCTTGCATCTCATAAGGGTCGGTAGTTGTCTGCTAGCACAAGCATTCAGCTATACGTGTGTACTTTGTAATTGCTCTTCTCGCTTCCCCCATCATTCATTTTATCTCAGGTTCTGGGCTGCGATTTTATTTTTGCTGTTCATTTTTACCTATCCCATGAATGGTACTTTTAACTGCGCTGCTATTTTTGGTGCACTCAGGTTCACTTGTCTGCAGTCAGGGTCAGGGATTTCTTGTAGATGACTCGATCTTCGACTATCGATTTTGGACGGAAGAAGCAGGGCGAGCTCTTCGGGTCAGGGCCACTGCGTCCAGCAAACATCATTAGAAATAAGTTCCCTACCTACAGGAATGGTTCGAACGGGATTGTTATCAAATTGGCGGATGCCCCAGAAATGCCATCTCTTAAGGAGGCCGTTGCCAAGGAGACAACAGATCTGCTTGATAGGTGTCAGCGCCTTTCAGTCCGTGAGCTCACCATGAAATTCGAGAAGGGCTTTAACACAGCTACCTTGTTGTCTAATGAGGTTTGGAGACTACATGTTTAGTTCCTTGATACTTATTTCAAATTTTGTCCAGTATAAGTTGAGCTCCCTATTTTTAGATCTGTTTACTGGGCTTCCATGTCACATACAACCTTTTTAATCATTTATTAACGGTTCTATATCCCTTCTGTTCTGTGATTAGTGTAGTAGCAGTAACTACAAACTATTAATAGAAGGTGGGTAAAAATTCAATTATTTTATATAAATTTTAGTTGCTTTTAACACGCAGGCTAAATGGAGACATGCAGCTTTATTGGAGCGAGACATCCTTCTAAAGAATCTTAAAAGCGTATTGGAATCACTGAGAGGTCGAGTAGGGGGCAAAAATAAAGATGAAATTGAGGAGTCTCTATCTATGGTTGGTTTCTTGCTTTAAACCATAATTAGGTTCTTGCAATAAATTTTTATTTTGGTCAATGTATATTTCTTTTGAATTTGATGGCTCCTTTACCGCCTATTATTATTATTTTATAAAAAAATTACAGCTATGTGCTAAATTCATCGCTTTTATGGGCACTTTAATAGTTTCATACATTTATTATAGGTGGATATTTTAGCAGTTGAGCTATCCAAAAGAGAAGATGAGTTGCTTCAGCAAAAAACAGAGATCACCAAAATTGCAGGCTCATTGAAACTGGTGAGTTCAAATTTCTAATTTCCTAGGCACTAATTCCACACCTTAATGCTATGATTTTTTCTTGATATGAGATGTATGTGACCATTAGGATACCAATTATATGTGAGAAATTATTTTAGTATCATAGGCCATTTAATGTTGACTGTTTATAATTTTTTTGAGGTAACAGGAGGGGCCGGGTCCCTACTGATTAACTATATTAAAAGTGAGTAAAAAGTTACAAGAACTAAAAGAAAAACAAAAAAAATACAATAGGGATTGTGGCTATTCCTCCAAAAAGGGGTAGTACTTAGATGTCTCCATGTTTTTTGTCCTCTGATATCATTTTCCTATATAGAAGCACACTCAAGCTCTATCCATTTGATATTGCATTCTGTTCATTCTTCTCAAGCACTGATTTTTTTTCTGTCTTGCAAATAGGCTTCTAAAGATGCCAAGAGAATTGTTGATGAAGAAAGAGCTAATGCTCAGTTGGAGATAGAAAGTGCTAAAGCTGCTGTACAGAAAATTCAATTAGCACTTAAAGAGCACGAAATTTTTTATCAAAGAACTGGGAAGCAGGTTAGTGATATCTAAAGATGTAATAGGGTTCTGCATTGCATCGCCTTCATTACTATTTCTAGACCACTTTGAATACATGGACTAAGTCACTAAACCACCTCCTCCCTATTTACTTATTCGTGCTCATGTCTTGGTTGTCCTCTGATTCTTAGTATTTCTTCTCAACTATCTGTAGACATGTCATATTCTGGCAATTTAAAGTTGCTATTGAGTATCGACAAAATGCAAATGGTAACCTACATCATTGATTGTTTACTTATTATCCTTTTATCTTTATTATAAACCATCTACCTGCACAACTGTGACATCTTGCTTTTACCTTTTTAGTTCATTTAACTGAAGTTGCTAGCCTTGAACTCTAGATATTAGCTGTTCATATATTTTAAGTGCTGTTGCAGTTCATTCAATCTCCAGATGTTGATCTAAGAAAAAAAATTCCATTTGAAATGTGCATACATGATAACCATTTGCTGCTATTACCTCTTAAGGATGTTGATGAACTGAAGGAAGAAGTTCAAGAAGCACGAAGAGTGAAAATGCTGCATTGCCCAAGCAAGGTAGAATCCAAATACTCGTGTCATCATGTGAAAGTTGAAAATTGCAAGTTGTATTTTAAATAGTTAGCACAATTGTTTGATTATGTATGGAGTTTATAGAATGCGGGTACCAAATATATTTCAAGTCATCTGAATATGTGTCTAGGCAATGGACATTGAGAACGAGATCCAAGTTCTACGTGACCAACTGGCTGAAAAATCTTCAGATTCTCTTCACCTTTTGAAAGAGGTATGTGTTTCAAATTCATTTAAACCAAATTGTTCATGTTATTTTGTGTTCCTTGTCAAACTTATGAAGTTCCACAATTTTCCTTTCAATTTTCAAATATTACCTAGTGGTATTAAGTGTTAACTGATTTCTAGTTACGCTTTTATTGTTATCTTTTCAGTTGGAGCTGCATCGAAGTTACGAGGAAAATGACATGCCCTTGTATGAATTAAAGGGTCTAGAAACCTTAGGCTCAATGCTACACATAGTTGTTCAAGACTGTGCACATGTAGATTTTTCAAATAGTTCAATCCAGTGGTTTCGCATACAACCTGAAGGAAGCAAGAAAGAAATTATTTCAGGTTGAGCAATTTTCATCCTACAAAGTACTAATATTTTCTGGAGATGATATATTTCTGACATTTGCTGCTACTAAAACTTTTAGGTGCCACAAAGCCAGTATATGCTCCAGAACCACATGACGTGGGGCGTTACATCCAAGCTGAAATCAAATTCGGTGGTCAAATCTCAATCGCAAAGACTTCTGGTCCAATAGACCCTGGTATGTTTTCCTGATGGATTATCCAACACATATATTTGCTTTAACAATTTTGGATTTGTGACATGGCTAACAGTACTTTAATTTTGCAGCTGCAGGATTGGTTGATTATGTAGAGGCTCTTGTGAGGAATCCTGAAACTGATTATAATGTATGATCACGTGTCCATTCTTTTTTTGTTACCATGTTTTTTTTAAAGAAGGCACACCTTCAACTCTTTCATTACCTTTTCCCCCTTGCTGTAGGTAGTTATTCTTCAAGTGAATGGAATTGCTCAGGCTGCAGATTCTGTACATGTGCTTTCTATTGGGAGATTGCGGATGAGGCTTGCTAAGGAAAAGGCAGTCGTTGCGAAGGAGTTCTATTCCTCGTCAATGCAGGTATCATGTAGAAAACATTTTGAACCCTGTAAGATGGCATCATAGTAAGTTTATAGGCAGCTTGGTTCTGCGTCATTCATTGTAGCTGCTGTTCCCACGTCATTGGCTATGATAAGAAAAATGTGATCAATACCTAATACCACCCATTCCAGTTATGTGGCGTTAGAGGAGGTGGAGACGCCGCTCCCAAGCGATCTTCTGGCAACCAAGAAAGGATCTCAGCTTTGTGCTGGCCTTTGAAACAACCAGAGAACATAACTCGGCACTCATGCTGGCCCGGAGATTTGCGATCGATTGCAATGTAAGTCACTGAGCTGAAGGGTGGCTGGTCCTCAGTCCTCACCGTATTGTGATTTGGTAATTGTCAAATTCCTGACCATTTTTTGCTGTCTGAGTATGTGCAGATCATCCTTACTGGTCCAGGGGATAAAACTCCATGGTAAACAAACTCCATGATAAACAAGCAGCGCACTCTGAAACCTGAAGTCTGACCCTTTCTTGAATGTACATCTCTGCACATGCAGTAGTTAGATGTCTCATCTGATCTCTGGGAGAGTAATTGAGTTCAGTTTAGCAGTATACCTAAGTGCCAGGCATTGACACCGATTCATTTTTCAGTTTAGGACTCGTTGCATTTGTACTTGCAGGTTGTGGCGCTGTATACATGCAGTATGCCGAGGCACTAGGCACCTAGTCAACCGCTTCTTAGGATCTGCGCATGCAGCCGGTGAATGCAGGTTGTATTCATCTTGGAGAAGCTGGTTGCCCATCGACCCGTCACCAGATCCATGCTTAAGAAGTATAGCACTCAATCTTCTCTCTAGCCTCTAGGTGTAGTAGGTGCGGTGTAGACGATGAAAGTGCTTCTTGTACTTGTACATGTTGAAGCATATATATAACAACGGAGCACGTCACTCTGCTTACCAAGCATCATCAATGAAAGCTTACCAAACCATACTGTTTGCTCCTTCCTTTCATCCCCAGCTCCCCGCTTGATACCTTATCTGACCAAGACCAACTATGAGTAACAAAACGAAAGGTCGTCAATGGCATGTGCGCAAGTTCAGCTTCAGCGTCAATGTGGATATTTTGGAAGGTTTGGATGTAAGCTAATCTCGTCGTCCAGGTCGTCGGTCGTCGCTAATGATGGGCCCCAAGCCCGCCAAGAAACATCAATCAATTGGACAATGTGACTGCAGTTCCTTAGGGAAGAGTACTACGTATACTTCAAATGGGGTTGACTCCGTGCATGCCAGCCACAAATGCTTGAATATGTAGTTAATTGATAAAAAATTAATACCATCTCAGAGATACTTTGAATACAAATCTGTTGATATATGTTTTACGCTCTAAAGTTGCATATAATTTGACTAATTATTAATCAAAATTTATAAACTTTGTTTTTTCTTCTGGTCAAATACGACTATTTTTTTTTTTTGATGAAAGTGGTACTTTATAGCAGAAGGATTGGCTCCTTCGGCTCGGCTGCACAGCGGAGGACCTCTTTTTAGGCAGAGTGTTGGTAAAGCTCTTTTAAGCAGAGTGTTCGTGCGGCTTCCATGTGTGACAGGTACTCAGTCCGTCCTGAAATACAAAGTATGCAAGTGATTATTCGATAAAATAAGGAGTTTTGGTTACTTTTCCTAGTTACTGGTAGGTTGTTTTAAGTGACATCAAAATGAAAGAGTCTGTCTAGTGTACAATCGTGTGTTTTAGCAAAAATTAGCACATGGTTGTTTTCTGACCGTAAAATACACGATTTGTAACAGAGAAAAAAACGTGTGTTTTAGCATAAGCTAGCACATGGTTGTTAGCTGCCTGCAAAACACATGATTTCCAATAGAGCAAAAACCGTGTGTTTTAGCACAAGCTAGCACACGGTTGTTGGCTGCCTGTAAAACACTTGATTTTAAAAGAAGGCCCACACAATTGTAATTTATGTGCAACCGAAGAGTAAAATAATAGAGCCCAATAACTAAAATGAGAAAGTGGCCCATGAAACATGCAGCAGCCTAGAAAAACAGTATAACAACAGGAAAATCAATAGGAATAAAACAAATAAGACTTGAGAAATAAGCAAAACAAATAAAATAGATCTGCTCTGCGTGGGGAAAAGCTCTGCTATGCTCACGCAGAGCAGGGGACAGGGGCATAAATCATATTGCAAAGGAAATTTGAAGAACAAGCACTACAAGTCTAATTCATACCTCATCAGCCAAGGTTAGTACACCAATCTTTTGAATCAATTTCTCTGGTAAACAATTACTCTGAAGAAGCAACAATGAACTACAGTGGGTTTTGCGATGCAGTGGGTTTTGATTAACCGAGACAGACGGGCTAGGTGGCCGCCTCTGTTAATCAGTGGCGGGGCTGCCGGCCAGGCGACCACCTCGGTTAATAATTAACCAAGGCGGTTGCGTTACGACAACCGGCTAACTGAGACGGACGTCTTATGACGCCCGCCTCAGTTAATCATTTAACGGAGGCGGTTGTTTTAAGTCAACCGTCTCTGTTAATCGTGTATTAACGGAGGCGATCAACTTTACAATGCCCGCCTCCGTTAATCCTATGGCTAAAATACAGCGCCCAGTCGCCCCCTCCTTCTTTCTCACGGCTTCTCCTCCATTTTTTACGGTTTTTGATCTCCAAAACCCCCAAAATTGATATTTTTTAGGGGGAGAAGTTTTGCTCTTCATGAATTTCTTGAAGGAGGACACCGCAGGAGGTTGCTACATGCTCCTCCATCCTTATTCTCCTTCTTTTTCGACATTTGAGTGCTCTAGATCTAAATCTAGTTTTTCATGGAGGAGAGAGAAAACAAATCTAGGTGTTGATATGTAGTTATTTCTTCATAATACTGCTTTGCTTATGTCTTTTTTTGTTGCGTTTGCAAGGTTCGTTGGTATGGACATGTCAGAATGGATGTACCGGGCAATGTTCTTCAACGAACGGAGCAAGTTAGCGACAATAGAGAAGTATGAGAACATCAGAAACTGGAGCACCAAGCTACGCGTCCTGGATTACAAGTTGGCAGACCTCTTTGGATTAGGGAAATTAGAGTAGCGGAGATCTTAGTTTCACATGTAAATATATGACATGCATGTAACTTGAATGTTGGCTCATGGTACAATAAGGACGAGACACGAATGAATGTGATATATGTTTATGCTTTGTATGCATATTTCTTCTTTGCCTATGTTTAATTTTGTAAAAAGTAATTAGAATTCAAATTCGAATTAAATGGCGGGAAACTATTTTTTAACTGGAAAATCATTAACGGAGATGGGCAAATAATAACTAGCGCCTCGGTTAACAAGTTATCAGAGGCAAGCACCTTATGGCAACCGCCTCGGTTAAACGATTAACGGAGGCGTGTGAGTTAGGGTGATCGCCTCTGTTAATGGACATTAACCGAGGTGGTTGTTTAAGCGCCCGCCTCCGTTAACCCATTAACCGAGGCGGCAAAGCAAGCGCCTTTCGAGGTCTCTGCATTAACGGAGGTCTTTGAGTGGAGGCGGTTGCAATGGCCGTCTCCATAAATCAATTTTGGCTGTCTCCATTAAGCTTTGTGTAGTAGTGTAAATTTGTTTAAAACGTGAACACAGATAAATATCTCATTAAACTTTGGATTATTTGGATCGGTGCGATTATAATTTTTCTATATTAGATAAATACCATAACTATAGATTGCGGCTGGTGGTTGGGTAGGCCCCGAAGGAACAGGAGCAAGGGAAAAAATCACATGGTGCAGGATTTGACAAATAAATTTTGTTGGAATAGGCTGTCAGCAGCAGAAAGATAGTAGTAAGGTTGCACCAAATTTTTTACATAATATGTAGTAGAAGAAACACAAGACGACTTTAAGGACCACGAAATTAAACCAAGGCAGTCCTAAGACCATTAATTAGTGGGGAAAAAAACTCAATGGAGTCCTCGAATGAGCCGTAGTAGGCAGACCATCGTTCGTCCCAGTGAATACGATACCGGCTAACAGTCATCCAGTGTGGTTCGTCGTTCGGCTCCATCTCCTCCAGCTCCGGTTCCTCGGGTCCCAGCATCCTCCACGCGTCTAATTTCTTCCCGACTTCCATCTCCATCCCTCTTGGCGGCGATTCAGGCTTTGGTTCCTCGCTCTCCCATACCTCGTCCTCGTCCTCGTCCCCCAACACAACAAAGACGCGTTCTTTCCCTTCATCTTCATCGGCGCTTCAACAGAGATTGCTTCTTCCACTGTCCACTCCCATCTTCATCGGCGCCTCTCCCCCAGATGATCCTCGTCGGTCACGATTTGACCAGGCTCAGTCCGAATAAGCTGACTTCCACTAACATGCGCTACATTGGTTTCATTGACTGGTCCGAAAATTTTGGATTTCGTCCATTTTGATGAGCTCCAAATGTTTTGCGCAAAAGAATTCCAGAACCTTGTTATTGTATGACATGCAGGACATATATATGTAATAATAAAATATTGTAAATTGGAGAACGTCCATTCTTCTCTGCATTGGTAGATAATACAGCAAACAACTCCCAATGTTTACTTACAAGCAAGTTTCAGCACAAATAGCTAGGGTATCAATTCCTAAATTGCAATACACATATCACTGCACTGCATATGCATCTTACAAAAGCATGCACCAAGTATACCATGCATCTTACACAGGTAGTATGGAACACGTGATTGCCCTCACAACTTTCATTCTTCACTTAAGGATTGCATGAAACACGCGACCAAAAAACAGTGACTTCCATTTTACAGAACCCAATGTCAAGCTCACCGATACTTTTACTAGCTTCCAAAGGGTGAAAAATGGTATGTTTTTCCACAACTTTGATGTCACCTTCCAGTGCCTTGACCTGAAATATCACCTCTCCACAATGTTGAGTTGAGATAACATTCCGTGAAAGCTTTATCTTGCCATCACCAGCAATAGGCACTTCCTGACCTCCAGAATCAAGTAAGATGATTCTCTCATGACCAACACCAGCGCTATATTCTGTGGTACTTCTGTCACTGTAACCAGTAGTAGAAGCAGTAAATAGACCACGCAAACCATCTGGCCATGACCCATGAATGACTCTCACAAATATCGTAGCCTCCACAGAGAAAACAATGTGGCCAAGCGAAAACTCCAGTCTGCTAAGCTTGGTAGTGTAGGCACATTTAAACACATGTGAAAGCATGCAAGAGCATGTTAATGGAGAAACTAGAAAGCTCAAGTATCCATCCTCAGACTCAGTAGCACCCTTTACTTTAAGGTCAACCTCGATGATCACAGGATCTGACAATACATCTGAAAACATAACAGCACGGTAGGACATTCCAGTACAAAATATGGATCCTGCATATACAACACCACAATATGAAACCGAAGCAAAGGGGTTAATATTGAGCCGCATAATTAAATCAAATCAAAATAAACAGTGTAAGTCGCAAAATGCAAGCGTTATTAGCATAACGCATTAGTGACAGAGGATAGGGTATTTGTGGTGCACAAACAATCAAGTCCCTAGAGATGTCTTACATGCAAATTACATATTTATATCTGCCAACCCCCTTGCAAACAAAGCTGAAACAGTTTTTTTGGACCAAATTTACGGGAACACCAGAAAACATCAAGCACAACATATCAGCGGCAGGAAATTCATTGGGCAATGGAACTAGGCAGACATATTAGTTGGGAAAAGGTAAAAATCATGATAGTTGTTAGTTAGGACAACCGTATATTATTACAAACTAAAACAAAGAACCATGCATAAAAAGTGCTTCCAACCTTTTCGGTGAGGGTTTGGCATTCATCTCTGCTGCGCTGGAAGATAATATTGCGATTGTGGTCTACCGGGTCGCGCACACAGCAACCATACCGAAGACATCCAACGGCAGCTGTAAGCTCCCTCTTGTTGCAGCTAGCTTCACCGAGTAGACCTGTAGAGTATCCCTTTGGACGTAAACCTTCTTCAGAGCTTTAGCTTTGTGTCTGTGAAACGCATGGGAGGGATCCTGGCTGCAAGTAGATGTAAAATATTTGAAATGGGTCAAGATCGAGTACAATAGCAGCCTCAATAATACTGAAATAGCAACAATGACTATCAGAATTTTATATCTATCGAATCTACTGAACATATATAGAATACACAATCCAAGTCCATTGTGCTGAAGTATAATTTGTCAGTAACGACTAGTACAGAATAGAAGAGCAGTAAAATGCTGGAGACCCAGCCATCTATTTCTGATACAATACAAGCCCAAATAATCAAACTATATAGAGAAGCTAAATCCAACGACCAGGTCACACGGCACAAAGCAAAATCACGTGGTGCATAATTTGACAAATTTTGTTGGAAATAAGTTGTCAGCAGAGCAGATATACTATTATCCAGAAAACACAAGACTACTTTTGAAGGACCAGGAAATTAAACAAGGCAGGCGTAAGGCGATTAATTTCTGGAAAAACTCGCTGGTGTCCTCGAATGCACCGTAGTAGCCAGACCACCGTTCGTTCCGGTGAATGCGATACCGGCTAACAGTCATCCAGTGGGGCATGTCGTCCGGTTCCATCTCCGGTTCCTCGGGCCCCAGCATCCTCCACACGTCTACTTGCCCCACTTCCATCTCCATCCTTCTTGGCGGCGATCGAGGCTTTGGTTCCTCGCTCTCCCATACCTCGTCCCCCAAAACAACAAAGACGCGTTCTTTCCCTTCCGTCTTCGTCGACGCTTCAACAGAGATTGCTTCTTCTTCTTCCACTTCCGTCTTCATCATCAGCGCCTCAAACTTCGGTGACTTCCCGTGATGATCCTCGTCACCCTGCAGCTGCAGTGCGTCTGCGTCCTCCGATTTTCACCGCAAAACGAGACAAGGGATGATGGATCGCCGGCAACGCTTCCGGCTTGCCGGCCGCTTCCGTTTAGGTCTCGTTCCGTTGTTCGGTTAGCCCAGGGCGGCCGGGAATATATAGGCCCAACAAAAACATGATCACGGTTCGATTCGGATCCTGGCAAAAGACTGACGTTTCGAGTCAGGCGTGGGCCTCAATTTGAGCCCATCGCACTGGCCAGGTCGGGCGTGGTAACGTTTCTTTTCTCTCGATCTGAGCCCAACCCGGACCCGGACCCGGACTATATGGTCTTTACTCACCAATAACCCCGTTCTTTCCTTCTCCCCAAGTTCACCCCGTGCGCGCGCGCTCTCTTTCTTTCTTGTGCGGCAACTGCGCGAACGCCGACGCCCGACGGCAGGTGCCCAGGCCTTCGTCGGTCCCTTCGCCAGGCCCCCGTTGCATCCTTCGCCGGAGACGACCCCCCACCACCAGGTATGCGGCACCCTTTCTCTTCCAGTTCTCGCTGTGCGAAACCAGGCGTCCAAACCCTAACTTAAGCTATTTCGCTATTTGTATTCGGATCTGATCTAATTACAAGCTTATACAAATCTATACTAACTTCGATTTTTCCCTGAAATTATTGGGATTAAGTGTACACCCGTGTCCTTTGCTGCGACCGCCCGCCCCTGTCCTGTGGTGTTTTTTATTATTTTTGGTGTTGTGTAACGGTAATATATAATATGTTTATTTACTGATGAATTTTGTGCGGATTACCTCACTGGGGTTTTGGTATTTAGTTTTCAGGACTGATCTACTCACTAGGGGCGTAGAGGTGAAGAGAACTTGACAATGAGCAGCATAGGCACAGGCTACGATCTGTCTGTCACCACCTTCTCCCCAGATGGTCGTGTCTTCCAGGTCGAGTATGCCACCAAGGCCGTTGACAATAGCGGGTTAGATTCCACTGCCTCCCATTTTTTATTGTGTTTTGCTTCATTTATTATTCCGTTTTCTCTGTTCTATGTAATCTTATTGGTTATTGTCGATGCCATGGTATTTGTGAATAGGACTGTTGTTGGGATCAAGTGCAAAGATGGCATTGTCCTGGTAAGATTTGGCCTTCTCAAAATTTTTCCTTCGGTTCAGTGCTAAAGTTATTTGAGTTGCCCAAGTCTTCACTGGGTCCTGATTTGGTGGTTGGCCCTTTTAGGGTGTTGAGAAGCTGGTAACCTCAAAGATGATGCTGGAAGGGTCAAACCGGAGGATCCATTCTGTGCACCGGCACTCTGGCTTGGTAATGCCTTTACAAGTGACTCAAAATTGATAGTGGTTTTGATGCCAAATCATGTCATTGATGAATAAATAGAGGAGCAGGATTAAAATTCTGCTTTGGTCTTCTAACCTGTATTGAATATAGGAGCAAGATAGTAAAAGCATGCTCTAATACCTGTTTTCCTAAATAATCAATTGTTGATGTAAATTACTAGTAAAGATGTTGTACCTATTAAGATTTTTTTCTTTTGAATTTTCTTGTGGTGATACCTTTTCTTTTATTGCAAAGGTTCATGTTCCATTAGCCATTTTTTTTATGTATCATGTGTGTTTTCACAAATTCCTTGTATTGTCATTTGCAGGCTGTTGCTGGTTTAGCTGCAGATGGCAGGCAAATCGTTTCAAGGACCAAATCAGAAGCTGCCAGTTATGAAAAGTAAGCACCTAGTATTTTAGACCATGTGATGTGAGATCTTTTTATATGATTATGTTCTAAAGTTTTAATGGACTAGGGTCTATGGAGAAGCCATTTCTGTGAAGGAATTGGCAGATCGTGTGGCAAGTTATGTTCACCTTTGCACGCTGTACTGGTGGCTCAGGTAATATATTCAACAGTAGTGGTCCGTAATTACTTGAGGCATGACTTGTATTCACCAAACATTATTTTGGCTACTGTAGTCAACCCTAACTTGGTTTCTGTTGTACCAGGCCTTTTGGCTGCGGTGTTATTCTAGGAGGTTATGATAGGGATGGGCCACAGCTCTACATGATAGAACCCTCAGGAGTTTCTTACGTAAGTTGTTACTGTATTACATAGTTGTATCAACATGAGTGCACAGGCTCTTTGTGTTAGTTTTATTTGAATTATGTCTTCCATCAGTCGCCCACTCATTTTCAGTATGGATGGCATTGTTTTTAAGTAGCATTACGCTTTAGGAGTCTTGTGAATTTGAAATACATAATGTTTATTGACTTTACAAACTTGAACAGAAATATTTTGGTGCTGCATTGGGGAAGGGAAGACAGGCTGCAAAGACGTAAGCTTACAATTTATTTCGTTCTTAATGTTCTCTATGTTTCTTGTTCTTCTGTTGCCAATGCATAAAACATAGTCAAATAAACATTTTATTGCCTTATTGTAAAAGTGCGTATTGTTACAAGATATTCCTTCCAATCACAAATAAGTGACCTTGACATGGTCTTGGAATGCCAAAACACACCTTTGACAAGTACTTATTCTTTCAAAATAGCTATAGAACATAGCAGAAGTATACTTTTATAAAACTACATTTCGAGACAAATCTACGTATATCATTTTCAAATACCCAAACTCCACATAAAAAGTAATATGCAACCACAGTTTAGAATGGTTGACTTAGGACAATAAAAAAATGTCACATATTTGTGACTAGAGGAAGTAGCTTGCTGAGAAGGAAAGCAAAAGAGAAGGTAGTACCCTCCAAATATCAAACCGTTCAATAGTATGAATTATTTGATAGCTAATATATTTTTTCATTGGAAGTTAAAAATGTTCAGGCTAATGTTAGCATATTGTATCAAATAGTGACTATACCATTGCATTGTTAAATAATCTTTGTGCATATGCTTCCTTTTTGTATTCATTGATTAGAGTTAACCATTAAAGCATAGGCAAGGTTTATTTATATAATGGGAGCCCACATTTTACATGCTCTCAGTTTTTATGTATATCCTCCCCTTTATTTCCAATGAAATATTGACTTCTAAAATAATCTGATGGAGGTAACTGTTGGCTTTAGCTTTTGTGTTCCATAATCTTGTTAACACGAATACTTCTGCATTTACTGTTAAAGTCACCTCTGTATTTTTTTGGTTCTGTGTGAACTTCTTTAATCTTAATTATGGATGGACCTCAAAATGATTCTGAACTTTTTCAATGTTGTCATGCAGTGAGATAGAAAAGTTGAAACTTTCAGAGCTTACCTGCCGGGAAGGCATTGTTGAAGTTGCAAAGATGTATGCCTAAGTCTCTTTTCTCATAATAGTACAAGTTTGCATCTTAATGAATCTTTTTAGTTTTCCTTTTTTTCCCTGAATGAATGCTATTATTGTCTAGTACAGTGTTGCTGGCGTTCCTTTTGCTGTAGATTAATTGGCTTTAATCACTGTTCCACATTGTTCAATGTCATTCAAGAAATCTGTTGTTCATATTTATACAAAGCCTAGGAAGGGTGCAGTTATCATTGTTTAGTGATAAGGGAGCACATTCATTTTACACTAGACGTTTTTATATCAAAAGTTTGCTGGTAGGAGTGTTATTAGTAGAAAACTGCTTGTAGAAATATCATGATTACAATGTAGATTTGATAATACTGCAAACTATTGGCATAGACAGTCTTAAAAACAACTCTTGTTAGAGTAGGGGCATAGTTTACAACATCTTATGTCACGTGATGCTAAGTTGTGGGTGTTTTAAGTTTAACTTTGATATTTAAAGGTATTGCCAAGTTTCTTTTATATTTACCTGCTTACTTGATGCCAATGAACCTGAAAAGGCTACTTACTGCTCTTCAAAATGTACATTCTGACAAAATGTGCCCAAATGCAGAATTTATGGACTGCATGACGAAGCAAAGGACAAAGCTTTTGAGTTGGAGTTGAGCTGGATCTGTGATGAATCAAACCGCCAGCATCAGAAGGTACTGGGATATTCACATGAAGAATGAGGGGTCTCTGTATGTTTCTCGATTTGAATTTGAAGCTGAAACTTCTTCTTCTTTTTTTTTGCCTACTTGTCATACAGGTTCCGAATGAACTGCTGGAGCAGGCCAAAGCTGCTGCTCAGGCAGCTCTTGAGGAGATGGATGCCGACTAAGAAACACGATGGTTTGCCCAGTCTTCAGTGTTTTCGGTGCTGTTGAGATCTCTGATCGGTTTTGGGGTGACCCACTGGACATGGCCAATTTGTCAGAATTTATATTTTGATCCATGTCATGTAAAACTCCGATCATGGAAGTCTGGAATCTAGATTGACTGATATCAGAGCTGTGGTGTTTACATTCTGGTGAAGTCTTGGCGTCTTCAGGAACTTAGCTTCTGCTGTACCGGTTACGCAGACTGGAGTACTGGACTGTGTGTGTTTCCGAATCGTGCATCAGACTTTTAGCTGTTCCTTGACTTTTTTATTTCAGATAAAGAACTGTTCCTTGACTTGATGCAAGTGGGTTTGGTACTTTGTGTCATATAGTTAGCAGGCGTGAAATCGTGACGTCTTTTGATAGGTCATATAGGTGTATAATCGTGATATCAAAAGAAGTATTTATCAGCCCATACGAAGAAAAGCCATGTACTATCAGCCTGTTCGGTTGGGATTATACGATCGTAAACGACTTTAAATTTTCAGCCGGAACAGTATTTTTCTCTCACATCAAATCAAACCAACCAGCAGTACTTCTTTACAATCCAGCAACAAACAAGCCCAGCCAAATGAACAGCCCGTATTCGTGTTAAGCGGGGTTGGAACACGGAAGAACACTACAGCAACAGGAAGGAGAATAGAGGCAAGCATGCTTAGTCAGCCCTACTTGTATATGAATTCTTGAAGAAGGAAAGGACAATAATGGATGCTGATGGCAAACTGGTACTACGAACATGAAGAACGAAAGGACAATAATGAACATGAAGAACGAAAGGACAATAATGGATGCTGATGGCAAACTGGCAGTCTGGTACTACGAACATGGAAACATTTTTATTTTGACGAACATGAAAACATTTTTATTTTGATGGAATACAAGTATGAAATAAGATCAACATGCAAGAACGACAAATTAAACCCAGCTTTTAGTCGGCAGCTAGACAACCATTCCTTTTACATTTCCAAGCTCAAATAAACGCAGTTGCGTCGAAGGAATCAGACAGCCCAGTGCCAGCCTTGAAGGTGACCTTGCCGGGAGCGGACTCGTCGACGTACACTTCCACGACGCTGAGCCACAGCACGAGCTCCTTGGTCTTCACCCCCGCGATCTTCTTCAGCTTGCCGTGCTCCACGAACGCCGTCACCTCGCCGGCGTACGACACTGTCTGCTTGATCTTCTTGAAGGTTGTAGCCAAACTCCTGCATGTCTTCCAGAGGGAACAGGCCCTTCGGAAGGCCGATCTCTGCTAGCAGCTCGGCCGCCGCCTTCTTGCACGCCGCCGCATCGCCCCGGGTGATGTCGGCCCCGGCGCGGTAGGTCTCGTTGGTTTGGGACGCCATTGCAGGTGCTCTGATGGTTGGTTTGTTCGGAGCCCGGTGGACGATGGAATTTGGAATGTGGTTACCTGATAAAACGTGACAATAAATTAAACTGAAGATGCTGGTGTGTGATGGACTTGTGTAGAGGAGGTTATCGAGCAGAGGTTTATATAAAGAGACGTCATGCTGATCTGCTGGAGAATGGAGAGCAGGTGTCCAGAATAAAATGATGCAGAAGCAGGGAGTCGTCATTGTTCTCGTTTGGCAGTGGAAGTCAGCTTGTTCAGACTGAGCCTGGTCAATTCGTGTTTGCATTGGGCTAGCAGCTAGCTGGTGACGGGCTACGACATGAGTCACATGAGTACTAATTTTCCGATACTGCTGGCAGGGAGATGCATAGTAGTTTCAGACCGTGTTGCCGAACAAGCTAGGACTCGGTGGCGAAATGGCGAGCAATGTTGGGCGCGGTACGCCTTGCTGACATTGACTGGGTCGTGCCGGGCGGCGCCTGCGCGGCAGCGGGCCGAGTTCAGGGCAGCCCCGTCCCGTTTCTCCCCATCTGCTGCCCGGCATGACCGAGCTCGGTCTCACTGGGCAGCCTGGACAAGCTACTAGACTAACGGTAACGGCCGGGTCAAGTCAAGTCTGCCTCGCTCTCTGTCTCTGAATGATGCGTTTCTCAGAAATTTTAAGGCGGGAGATCAAGACTTCAAGAGGGCACGATATGGCTTATGAACTACAGTACAAATATGAGGCACTTAATAGCGCCTATATAAGCCCATGCCTAGCTCATCACACTACATCCTCATTCTCAGTTTTCCTCACAGACACTGCACATCATCTTAGCTCCCTATCCTACTATAGCCAGCCGTGAACGTCCAAACAAACCCAGCTCTGTCTGCACAGCTCCTGCCTCGGACCAGCTAGCAATGGCGTCCCAGAGCGTTGAGAGCTACCGCGCCGGGGCAGACGTCGTCAGTGGAGACGCAGCGGCATGCAAGAAGGCCGCAGTTGAGCTGCTCGGAGAGATTGGCCTCCCGAAGGGCCTCTTCCCGCTGGACGACATGCAGGAGTTCGGCTACAACCGCGAGGCAGGGTTCATGTGGCTCGTCCGGGGCAAGAAGAAGGTGGAGCACACGTTCAAGAAGATCAAGCAGACGGTATCGTACGCCGGCGAGGTGACGGCGTTCGTGGAGAAAGGCAAGCTGAAGAGGATCGCGGGAGTGAAGACCAAGGAGCTGATGATCTGGCTCAGCGTCGTGGAGGTGTACGTTGACGAGTCATCGCCTGGCAAGGTCACCTTCAAGACGGGCACTGGACTGTCTGATTCCTTCGATGCAGCTGCGTTTGAGCTTGGCATGTGAGAGCATATGGAATCTTCATAGTTACCAAGTGATGAAAGCTGTGTGGCGTATAGTTTTTTTTTTATCAAAGTTGTTTAGCGTCGTTTCCTTCTACATGATTTTCCAGACTCCATGTAACTCCTCCTTGTTTAATCATTTTCATTGTAACGAAGTGTCCTCTTTTATGAAATTCTATCAACCCATATTCAACTGAATTATTTGTAGCCAGAATTTTTTTTTGTTTGTTTCTTCCGACTTTAGAGCGTCCGCAATGTGGAGAGAACCGACACATGATTTGACGTGAGCTCCTGTTATATTGGGTGTCGCTGTAGAACTGCAACTCTGGTCTTGTGCCTTGGTCTCTGTGGCCCTATCATTGACTTGCAGGGTCGTCGTCGTTGTTTGTGATCCTTGGTACTTTCCGATCCATGTTGGAGCTCTGTGTTGGGCCTGTGTGTGATCATTTCGTCCTATGCGGTTAGTGCATATAGTACATGTCTACATGTCTAATAGGATCAAGCATAACAAATAAAAAATTTAAATTCATAGCCTACTAGTATTGCTTAATTGGTTGATTGATCTAGTAGTAGTATATGAGTTTGTTTATGAGCTAGTGAACCCAAGTACTTGATCTATATATTTTGAATTGCAAACAAGTGACAAGTACAACCTTAATAAGATAACAACTTAATGCGTGTCAAGAAGCTTAGAAAGGGTTCAAACCAGACTTGAAAGCTTATGCAAATCATTTGGTTCAAGTCAACAATAGAAGCTCGTGAGGATAATAAGAGTTCAGAAGAAGATAACAGTGCAAATGGATATCGCGTTCGACCTACAAGGTGGTATCTAGACTAATATAATCCGTGTCATCTCAATTATATCAGTATCGGCCAGAAGAGCTTCTAAGGAACCAGTACAACAAAGAAAAGCAACAACACGATGCAATTACTAAGATGATGTGGGAAAAGTTTGGACTCAAACCCAAGGAACAAATCTATGAGTATCGGCAGACATATCTCGAGTAGTTTGATAAAGGTCTCGTTGGTTTGGGACGCCATTGCAGGTGCTCTGATGGTTGGCTTTGCTTGTACGGAGCTCAGCGAATGGTGTGTTGTACTGTGCGTGGTTACCTGAGGAAGTGTGGCAGTAGTTGAGTAAATGAAATTGATGATGCTGGTTGGCGATGAACTTGTGTTGAGGAGAGGTTCTCTAGCAGAGGTTTATATAAAGAAACTGAAGATGCAGGTTGGCGATGAACTTGGTGTTTAGTGGTCGGTCATAGTTCTCGTGAGTGGAAGTCAGCTTGTTCAGACTGAGCCTGGTCAATTCGTGTGGTCTTCTTGCAATGGGCTAGCAGCTAGCTGGTGACGGGCTAGGACATGAGTACCAGTTTTTCGATACTGCTGGCAGGGAGATGCATACTCGTAGTAGTTTCAGACCGTGTTGCCGAACAAGCTAGGACTCGGTGGCGAAATTTGAGCTACTCGGCGAAATTGGCCTCCCCAAGGGCCTCTTCCATATGGACGACATGCAGGAGTTCGGCTACAACCGCGAGGCAGGGTTCATGTGGCTCGTTCGGGGGAAGAAGAAAAAAACGAAGCACACGTTTAAGAAGATCAAGCAAACGGTGTCATACGCCGGCGAGGTGACGGCGTTCATGGAGAAAGGCAAGCTGAAGATCGCAGGGATGAAGACCAAGGAGCTCATGATCTGGCTCAGCGTCGTGGAGGTGTACGTCGACGAGTCAGCTCCTGGCAAGGTGACTTTCAAGACGGGCACTGGGCTATCTGACTCCTTTGATGCAACTGCGTTTGAGCTTGGCATGTGAGCCAGACCAAACTCAAACATTGTGATATCCGCCGAAGGAGATAGTGCTGCTACAAAATTATCTTACATGTTGGTAACTGTAATCAGAATTTGAATTATATGTTTTATTTGGAATTTTCCATGCATGCCTGCAAAGTTTTGTATCATCCATTCATATTTGGCCTTGTTTCGAATTTTAGGAGACTACATAAAATTCAAATAATTTTAAGCAATGGACAAAAAAAGGTAGAGCATGCTATAAAACTGGTTTCATATTTTTTGAGTTAATACAAATTTTATATTATTTTCCTAATACTAAGTATTTTTAAATGCATATTTATTCTAGAAAATTTGAATATTTGTTAAATATTATTTCTATTTTTTGAAAGTTTAAATGGCCTTACTCGTTATCAATAGGGCACCATGTAAGCGGGTTAATGTGGCGTTACATCAATTAAAAGCCACTTTTAAACTGTTTATTAGGGAGGTAAATTGGATGATTCTAAGAGTGAGGGAGTATAAACAACTGATTTTATTATTAAGGACGGAAAATCAAAATTACCGGGGTTAGATAGACTTTTTCTTTCTTTCTTTCTTTTTTTAGAAAGATAGACTTTTTGTTTGCTTGTTTCTTTCTTCTTCTTCTTCTTCTGATAAATAGACTTTTTGTTTCCTTCTACTGCTGAACCGCTCAACGTCACCGGAGCATTAAAAAAAGGGGTTTTTTATCCATACTATTACAGTTCTGCAAGTTTGAAGATACGCCATTACAATTCACATATTTGGAGAACTGTCATTATAATTTCAATTCTCGCTCGTGCATGTCATTTTCAACGTCTTCCATGTACATGGGTCCATTGTCAGGCACTTATTACTACGACAACGCGTATGGGCGTTAAGTTCTGGCCTCCTCCGTCCCTGGCTTTCATGACGGAGGAGCGCCTTGGCGCTGTGGCTGGGCGAGGTGGAAGCGGCGAAGCGCCCTTGATGGTGGTGTGGCGAGCGAGCGGCATGAGTGCCCACACACCTTGAAGCGGCCGCCCTCCTCCTCCCTGGCGGCCTCGGACCTCGAAGCGCCCTGATCCGGTCTCAGGTCATCCACCACTGCACGAGATGGCCGAGGACGCCGTCTGGTGGGGTACGGGTACCTCGACGACATGTTCCCCGACAGCCATGGCTTCGTGCACATCACGCGGGGCCAGGCGGCGCGCGCCGGCGGGCTCGTCGCCGACGCGCTTGCACGGACGCACCGCATCAGAGCGTGACCTCCACGGGCTCGGCGGCAGCCTCGCAGCCCTCGAGAAGGATGGCGTAGGAGCGCATGGATTTCGGTGGTTACGCGGATGTCGGCCTTGTCGAGCTCGGCTTTTAGTTTCACATCGTCAGTGCGCTCGGGGTCCCCGCGGGGATCTGCCCCACGGTTTGCGTCGGCACCAAGGGGAGACTCATGGAGGACCAGAGCAGCGGCGCCGCGCACCATCAGTTCCGCGAACCCGTTGGGTATCTCCGACCACGGCCCAGTCCAAGATAACTTTGCAGTACTGGTAAGCAAGATTGAGTGAAAAGATGTTGCATCTCTGCACCAGCAAGACTGCATGAGACAAGACTGAAAGGAGCACTAGAGCACCAGCATTTCTTTACGTGAAGTCTGCACCTCATCTCGCGGCGGGATCGCATGAGTGGCAAATGACGCACACTACTCAATGTTCAAATGCTATACTAGCTTACTCAGAAATGGCATGATTGCATGATATGTTCAATTGGTGTGATTGATGAATTTTGTATTCCTCTCTCTCGTTTTTTAGTCGTGGACCTGATATACTCAAATATGGCACTAGTTTAATATTAGCATCAAATTTTAGTTGAGACTAA